GGGGCACAGCGGGGGGCTTACCTTGCAGTTCTGGCAGCAGTCGCCGTGGGCACACTGGGCCCCCACCTTCAATGTGCAGTTGTGTGCATTGCAGCACGGGTTGGTGCACTCCTGCGTGGGGAGAAGAAGACACCACCACAGTCAGTGAGTCCATCCCTTCCCCGTTGCTGACCCCAGTCCCTTCTCCACCCATCACAGCATTGCTTTTCTGACTTTGATAATGGGGAAACTGAGGCACAGGGGAGATGAGGAAAACCTGAGCACTCTGGGGCAAAGTCAAGAAGAAAACCAGGACCAGGTTAAATGGATTTAGGAAGGTGGGACTGGGAAGAGCCCTTGGGATGGAGTCCCTGTGGTGACCAGCAAACCCCTTTCCTTTGGAAATACCCCTCTCCACGTGGGCTGCGTCCTGCCACCCAGCAGCTGAGCTGAGCTGCAGAAGCCTCTGCTGTAAAGCAATGCAGCACCCAGCACCGTACCTCCACCTCCCCGCAGTCACAGTCTTCTCCTTCCTCCAGAAAGCCGTTGCCACATTTCCGTCCCACCACCAGGTCCTTGGTGTCGGGTAGATTGAAGAGACACATGCCACCTCCCTTCTGGAAGTAGTTCTCCAGCTGCCTCTTGCTGCAGGAGCTGAACACGCGAGGGAAGGGGTGGCTGCGCAGGGGACAGATGGGGAGGGATGGGAACCGGGGCGATCGGGACCAGGAGAAGGTGGAAAACCACAGTCAGAGCTGGGAAATAAGGACATGGGCAAACTGGCACAAACCCTTCCAAGAGCAGAATCCACCATCAGCCAGATGCATGAAGACCACGAACATCCCCCACCCCAACTCACAGGGTTGAGCATCAGATTAATAACCAGGGGACACCACACTGAACCCAAATATTTTCCAGAATGGGACGGGGTGGACAAGCAGAGCTGCTATACACCACCCCTAGAGCATCAACCCTCCAGGAAGAAACTTCTTGGAGATTGGAGACCCCCATGGTCTGAACCTCAAAGCCCAGGGAGCACTCATGCCTGCAGGCTCTGCCAGCTCGATGCTGGTGTAGGTGTCACCTCCGTACCTCGGTCCTTTGCACCTGGGACACCACAGACCCCCCTGTCCTAACCACAAGGCAGGTCTCCACATGTGCAGTGACTATCTGCTCAGGATGTCTGCTAAACATGTGCCTGCTATCACCAAACCGCTGATGGGAAATATCCGTTTGGGGCTATTTAAATACTTCCGAGGCTGAGATGGTGAAAAATCCCCTAAAAAATTAAAGAAAAATTGAAAAGAAACACAAAAAAACCCCCATATTAAATAATTCACAAAGCCCGAGCAGCAAAAAAAAAGAAATCAGAGCCTACTACATGTGAGGTCATTTCTCTAACAGCCCAACTGGCTTTTCCCATAAGGAGCTGGAGAGAAATGGTGATTTTCTAGAGGAGCTCTGAGCATGGTTCTTCCATAATTTTGCACAAGCTTGTGGGGTTTTTTATGTGATGTACTAAGAAGGAGGAAGCAGAGAGTAAGAGCTGTGCACCGCTCTCCGCTTCAGTGCTGGTTTCATTTCCTCCTATCGCTGAAAAAAAGTTTTATTTCATATTAGGACATCTCATTTCCGAGATGACACAGAGAGCTTTTTCTAAAAATATTTTTGAAGTCTGGGGGAAATCTTTTGAGCTGTAGGTAAAGCTGTAAGTCCATGCAAGTTGTGGGAGGGTTAGCAAGTAAATATACCCAATAAGCTGGTCCACGAACATGCAGACAGGGACAGGTTGAAGACAGTCAAAAATGCGTTTCCTGCCCATGTAGGGTAAAAAATATTTCAGCAAAAAATAAGAAGGAAGAAATGTCACGGCGAGATGTCAGCTCGGAGAGCTTTGCCTGCAGGGGTGAGCAGGGGCACAGCTGAGCTACAGCATCTGCTACCGCTTTGCACCAGCGCATCCAGCTCCGGTGGGTGGGGCAGGATAATTAATTAGTAGGCTAACTAAACAAACAAGGGCACAACTGTCCTGGAAAGCCGGTGCTTTTCCCCATCACGATCCACCTAGGCAGAGACTAAACCCCATGGGGTCAGCGCCACGGTCTGACAGCCCTGAGAGCCACAGGAAAACAGCCTGGGGACACCCTGAAACCGCATCGTGGTTTTTGACTGTTATTTATTAATTGGGAGAGCAGGTGGGTTCAAATAACGGGGAATAAACAGCTGTTTTTCTGCAGTACGGGGAAATCTGGGACGACTGTATTATCGGGAGCCAGAAAACCCAACAGGAGAAGGACCTTGGAAGGGAAAGTGGCACCAACCAGCTGAATTTCATACAGATTTGGGCCGAATTAAAGGGTAAAAGCAAAGGAAAACAAACCCTAAAGGGATGTCAGAAAGTTAATGACTGCCACTCCGGAGCATCCCACGTCCAGATTTAGTGGGGTTGGGGTGAGGGATGTGAGCTCACCCCACCGCAGCTCCGCGATGCCGTGAGTCTCCGCCAGCACGACCGGGGACTGGGCACCCCTTCGCCCTCCGGTCTTGCAATAAAGAATAATTTAATTGTGCTGAGGTGTGGGTTAGCACAGGAAAATGCCTTGGATTCCTGTCATATGCCTAGCAGATAACATCCATTTGCTTCCATCCCTAGCTCTTTTGGGATGGGGCTGCTACTCCTCTGCTACCCCTCGGAGACCACCGCTCCTGCCTGCTCCTGGGCCCCGGGATGTGCTCACTCCAGGGAACTGGGATGTGCAGGGCAAACGGGGAGGAGGGCAACCAGCCGGGTCCCCCTTTGCAACGGGACACTGCACCCGCAACGGTACCTTGCAGGAGAGGACCCCCTCCCCACTCCCCAGCCCACCCAGCTGCAAACAGCATCCACAACACACTGCGGGGCTTAGGGGCTGCATCCCGTCCCCACTGCCACTTACCCGGTGGCCGCTGCCATGACACAGCCACCTTGCTCCGGGGTGGCCTCCACGCAGCAGCCCGCGCTATCGTGGCTCATGCCGAAATTGTGGCCGATTTCGTGGGCCATAGTGGCGGCTGCTCCGATGGGCTGCTCCGAGTGGTCCTGCGTAGGGATGGGGGATGCGTCAACACAGCAGCCAGGAGCGATGGAGAGGAATGATCCCACAGCAGGGAATGGGGTTGGGGTGATGGAGGGACCACACATCCCTGGAATTGTAACTGGATCCCGTGGGAGGGAGAGAGAGGGATGGAGGAGGATTCATGGCAGAAGTGGGGTTTGGTCTCCTAAAAGTCCCGCATGGGACTGTTGGGAAGCTCTTTTGCTGGAGCCAGCTGCTGAAAACCTGGGGCCTTAGAAGGCACATCCCAAAAACCAGAAACCTCGGTGCCCCACACCCTGCCTAGGGACCACAGGACACCAGGGCCACCATCACCCCATCAGGAGGAGGGTAAGAGTTTTCTGGGGCAGAGACAACCCTACAAAACCAGAGAGGACAAGCAGGGAACAAGCAGGGGCTATTCAATATGAGGGGCAGAAGCAACACAGGAGATCCCAACGCTGCTGCTAGCTGCAAGCTGGGGGTGTACATGGGGAGGGAGACCTTTAAACCAGCCCTTTCTCACCCTCCTTAGTACTTGGCCAACATCTGAGAGGGGTAAGGGGCTACCAGCATCATCGTTCACTCTCAGGCTGCATCCCAGGACCAACCCCAGATGGCTGGTCCTCCAAGCCCATGAAGAATCCCAGCAAGATGGAGTGGAGATGGGGTCCCCCAGCCTGGGAGGAGCAGCGGGGACCCCTGTGCCCCTCTTACCACGCTGACACCTCCGGAGTTATCCGCACTGCACATGCCCTCCAGCGGGGCCATGCCAATGGTTGTCCCCCTGAACGTCTTCCCTCTGTCCGGAAAGGAGAACGGAGGAGCAGTTAGCACCTCAGGGGTGGTTTGGAGACCCCGGTCCGAGCGGGGAGCCCCCTGCCCCAATGTCACCAGGTCCATAGGGATGCTCACGTCAGCAGCTGGGCGTTGTCGTGCTTCTTGCGTGACCTCAGCGCCTTCTTCCACTGCAGGAAGGACCAGAGCGTGGCATTGGCATCGCTGGTGACGGCACACTGGTCCCGCTCCGTCCACACCTCCAGGCCAATCAGGGCCACCTTGATATTCAGTGACCTGTAAAACTGCAGGGAGGGGACAGGGATGGAGGGGACAGGGATGTACAGCATTCGCTGTACATCCTCCATCATGGCCACGGCATTTCAGCTGGTGGGTCTCCATGCTTTACCTCCAGCTGGGTGACTTAGGGACACACTTGTCCTAAATCCATCTGCAAGCATGAGCTCTACAGGCACAGGCATGGACACAGGACCCAGTCAGGGTGGCACAATGCCATCCATCTGCTGACAATGCCTAAGCATGTCCCTGATCATGACATTGATCCCCATCGCGACAGCAGGGCGAAGAGCCAGCATCCTCTTCACTGCTGCAGCTCAGCCGATGGGTGGCAAAGCATTTTCCACTGCATGCTCACATCTGCCATCTAAACTCCTAGCCCCAGTGACATGGGGACAGTCCCTGAGGGCCACCACCAGGCTGGCCCCGAGCTCAGGTGCTTTCACATGCATCGGGAATGATGGAGGTGGTGGTAGGTTCCTCTTGCCGGCCGTTACCTTGTCCACGTAGTTTGCGATCTCCACGATGCGCTGCTTGGTGTGGCCCAGGTTGAGGTTCTGGTTTCTGTACTGCAGAGAGATGGGGATGGGGAAGGGTCATCGGAGGAAGAGCAGGGAGGGAGACAAAGAGGGGTCCTGGCTTTTCAGCAGGGGACCAGGTTTCTGCCCCCACGGTGCTCACCAGTGTGTGATCAGCAACAATGAAGAGCTCCATGTACTTCATGGTCCTCCAAGCATCTCTCTTCGCCTGCAAGACAGACAGCAAGGCTTGGAGGAGTGAAAAAGCAGGCAGCCCACGGCTCTGGGCATCATGGGTTCCCCAGCCACTGCAGAGTTGCCCAGGAAGGATGGCTGAGAGGGGAAACCGAGGCATGAGGAGACCAGGAAAATTTGGGCAGCTTTAGTGCAATTCCCAACGTCACCTCACATCCCATCCCACATTGTACGACACGGCACCGATCCCCAACCCACATGTCCTCCCTTTGAGGTCTCCTGCCCAAACTCAAACCAGGTGAGCTGCCCATGAACACCTCTCACGTCCCATCTGCCTGCGCAACCCTGCCCAGATGCCAGGGTGACAGGCACCTTGCCGCAAGCTGCAGGCATTTAGCTGGGGCACAGACAGCCCCGCTCTCAGCCCTCTGCCCCTCCACAAGCGAAGGACGCCAGGGTGGATTTACCCGGTGGTGCACTGGCTGGAAGAGCTGAGCGATGTCAGCAATGGTGCTCCCGAAATCGTCGCCGTGGCCGCAGGTCCCACCTCGGATGGGCAAGTGTTCTGCTCGGTGGATGACGTGGTGGCCCGGCTCGGGGGTCCCCAGGGGTTTCAGGTAGTAGCTGGCGTTGCTGCTCAGCACTATCAGGCCCCTGGCAATGGAGAGCAGCCCCCGATGGCTCCTGTGGTGCTCTCACTTCAGCACCCCCAGCCCCTGCTGAGGCCCCACAAACTCACTGCACCTCAGCTTGGTCCGTACCCGGGGTAGGGGCAGAGATGGGTGTCTCTGTCAATACAGCCCTACGAGCTAATATATCCTTAGCATTAAAACCTCCGTGCCGGTCAGACCACGCGAACGCGGGACGGCAGCTGGTGGTTGCAACAGGGCAAAGCTCAGTTCTGGGGTACCCGCTGCGGGGTGCAGGATCCTGCTTCCTCTAGAGATGAATTTCCTTGAAGGCAGCTCACGCTGCCAGAAAAACGGCCTCTCCCCTCCCTGCCCGCTCCCGGGGTCGGGTGAAGGATGGAAAAAGGGGAGCGATGGAAAATCAGCCCCATGAAGGATCTAGAGCTGGGCTCGTGGGATCATCGGTGCTGCTCCGGGGGGGCCCCAGAGAGGGTCCCTGCAGGGAGGGAGGGGGCAGCCGGATCTATCCCCCTCTTCATCAGCCCCATAAGCCCCCCCTGCCCTGCCAGTCTCCGTAC